AAAAAAAAATGAGATTTTATGTTTAAGAAGTCATGCTATTAGCAACTTTCAGACTTAAATAGCATAATATTGCATATATGTATATATTTAACATTTATATATAATACATATGGCAAAAACATTTCCTTGGTTTACATGATCCATAATTAAGGACTTTATTATGCAATTAAAACATAATTGTATGTATTTAATTTCATGAGTCAGAGAAGTATTTTTTATTCCTCAAGGGCTAAGGTATTAGACAAAACATATGAACATTCCCTGTTATGTAGAATTCAACATCCTGTAGTCATTAAGTAACTAGTTGTTAACAAACTGCTGTTTTGTTTTCTTTTTAAGGAATGTGCCATTTAGTGTAAAAAGTAGAGTTTAGGAGCCAGAAGAATTCTTATGAGGTTAGTTATGGACACTTCTTAAGGAATGATTTTCAAGAATTTATCTTAAATGACTTTGCTTTACCTGGAAGTGGTTTTTAATAGGTTTAAAATGGGATATTAGACTCCATTTGACTAGTTTTCTGTTTCCAAAATTCCTGTGTTTGTGGCATTCTTTTTTAATGCACATAATTATATTTCTAACTTTATTTTATTGTAAAGGTTATGCACAGAGGAGTTACAGTCACATAAACAAAGTAATGAATATATTTCTTGCTGAACAATGTTACTTCCTCCCTCATTTACTCCTACCTTCCCTCCCTTCCTTCCACTCCCCTCCCCCCCGAGTTGTAAAGTTCATGTCCAACATAGTGTCTTGTGAGTATCACTGTTGCATTGGTTTACCCTTCGTCCTTGCCTTACCATTTTATTGTTCCCCTTCTCATCCTGAAAGTGGATAAATGTATATACATGACACAGGGTACCAAAATCAAAACCAGTGACAACAAGGGATAAACCAAAGAAAAAAATGAAAGAAAAAATAAATAGCTTCACACAGTACATTAAAAGCAACAACAAAGCTGGGAGCCATGGCTAGTGCCTGTAATCCTAGCTACTCAGGAAGCTGAGTTCTGAGGATCGTGGTTCAAAGCCAGCCTGGGCAGGAAAGTCTGTGAAACTCTTATCTCCAATAAAAACCATCACAAAACTGGAAGTGGCACTGTGGCTCAAATGGTAGAGAGCTAGCCTTGAGCTGAACTGCTGAGGGACAGCATCCAGACCCAGAGTTCAAGCCCCACAACTGACAAAAACAAACAAACAAACAAACAAAAAATACCAAAACAAAACAAAAAACCCGCTTGTTCATTTCAATTAGCATCATTTTATATGGTCATACATATATAGCTATTGAGCCATTGTGATCCTCTGCTAGGACTTTCCAGGACATATCTAATTATTATATCTAATTATTACATATGAGGGAAACCATGGAGCCTGTTTCTTTGAGTCTGGCTTGCTTCACTAATATGATTTTTCTCAAGTCTCCATTTCCTTATGAATGGGGCAATGTCATTCATTACACTGCTTGAAACATTTATCTGAGCAACTAGGAAAAGTAATATTTTAGACAAGCTTACTCATTTTCATTGTCCAACTCAAATATTATTTATTTCCTGTGTCTTTTACTGGTCATTTCAGATTTAACTGCTTCATCACCTAATCTACTGTCTTACTTTATGGATTTTTCTATATCACTATTTTTGGGTCTAGGATTTTTCAGAAATTTTTTACTAGTATTTGAACTCAGGGCCTCTTGAGCTATATTATTTTGGAGAAAAAGTTTTGTGGACTTTTCTTCCCAGGCTAGCATCAAATCATGATCCTCCAGAGCTCAGCCTCCTGAGTAGCTAGAATTATGGGTATGAGCCATCATTACCTGGCTCTATGGTCACTTTTTATAGTGTCATAGTTACATATTTATTGACCTAACCATAAGTTGCCTATATTTGTTTCCTCTGAACTCATTGAAATATATTGCAGTCCTATGGTGTTCAGCCATTTTTAGTGAATTTTTAATACCTAGATATTAAAAAACAAGCAGTTAAACCTTAATAGTTGAATAGCTCAGAAATGAAAGTCCTGTTCAAGTCCTGTTCAATAACACTACTGGTTGGAAGGCAGTATTCCATGTAATGAATGTTTGTCCTAGTTGGGAGCTTCTATTTTAAAAATTTAACAGTATATAATTGGTCTCTTGATCTGCATTCATGTTACCTAGATAGCAAAGATGCATATTTGTGTGATTCAAGCAGATAGAGGTAAGAGGTGGTTACTTTGTTACTGATTATGAAATCGTTAAAGAGGATGATTATTACTAATTACTTCTTTGCCTGTTGGATCAAAGGCACAAATTTCATAAAGATCAAGTGTTCTAAGAACCATTCAGAAGTATCTTTTTATGCCCTGATATAATATTTAGCAGGCATTTATAACCATTTACTAAATGATGTGCTCTTAAGTATAGTTAATCAGAGCGTGATTTTTATTTTGCTTTGGATTATCATATTCTTTTCAGTTTTCCCTAATCCTTATTTCTCTCTCACTTAATTTTTTTGGATGAACCAGGTTTATTCATTTACTCAACAGCAATTTATAGGTGTCTGTGTGGTTTTTTTCTTCTGTGTGTGTGCCCAACCTGGAGTTTGAACTCAAGGTTTCTCGCTCTTGCCTAGCATTTTGCTTAAGGCTGGCACTTTTACCACTTGAGCAACACCACCACTTATGACTCTGGAGGATTTGTCTGCTGGAGCTGGGCTACAAATTCAATGCTCACATCTTAGCCTGTTGAGTAGCTAGGATTACAAATGTGAGCCACCAACACATAGTAAGCTTTTCAACATCTACTTCTGTGCCTGTCCCAGAGTTAGACATTATGAGATATATGAGTACACAATAAAAGTAAGATATTTATTGTCAAGAATTGGAAAAAATTGAATGAAGTGAAGTAAGCCAGATCCAAAGAAACATAGGTGCCATGGTTTCCCTTATTTGCAATAACTAGTATATGTCTAGGATAATCTTACCAGACAAGCAGAAAAGGTCAAAAGCTATGTACATATGATCATATAAGATGATGCTAAGCAAAATGAACCCCAAGATAGGGACACAAGAGGTTTTATCTTTATTTCTGTTGTTTTTAATGTACTTGTACTATGTGATTTTTTAAATTTCTTTTGTATTTTCTTCCCCCATGGTATAACCCCTGTTTTTACTGTATTTGATTCCCATGCTCTGCATCTTTTTTTTTTTTGGGGGTCCGGTCATGGGGCCTGAACTCTGGGCCTGGGCGCTGTCCCTCAGCTCTTCAGCTCAAGGCTAGTGCTCTACCACTTGAGTCACAGCGTCACTTCCGGCTTTTTTCTTTTTGCTTATGTGGTGCTGAGGAATCGAACCCAGGGCCTCAGGCATGCAAGGCAAGCGCTCTACCACTGAGCCAACTTCCCAGCCCATGCTCTGCATCTTGTATATACATTTTTTTCTAATTTGGGAAGGGAACGGGAAATAATAAAATGCTAAAATAAGGATACAAGTTGACCCATTGTAACAATGAGATGTACAAGACACTATGTTGAAAACAAACTTCATAATTTCTTGGGGTGGGGAGGGATGAGTTGGGGAGGTGGGGAGGGAAGGGATGGTAGAGTAAAACAAAGGAGGAGTAGCAATGCTCAATAGGAAATGTACTTATTACCTTACTCCTGTAACTGTAACCCCTCTGTACAGTATCTTTACAATAAAATATATATTAAAAAAGATCTTTGCTGTCGTAATTAAAAGATAAGTCAGTATTTCCTCATTTAATATCTACTATCTACCATGTGTTTGTCATTGTTCTAGAAATTGTGGGGACAGTAGTAAAATTAACAAAGTTCATTCCCTCGTAGCTTACATGTTAATGGGAGAACACCAGAATAAGTGGAGAAGGCCTGTCTTCATGAACATTGATCTGAGAGCCTTTCTAGCAAAGTGTTCATAGTGAAGCCTAAAGGTTGAGAACAAATAAAGAGAAAGAACTGATTCCAGACAGCAATAGTAAAAATAGGGATAAACTCATTTTGCCCCTATACACATAGGGGTATGGTTTTTGACATAAGAATAAGGAATGTTTATTTTTCCATTTTTTTCAGGAAGTATGTGGGAGGAGGACAACAGAGAGGGAGCATTTTTGAGGAGAGAAACAAAATTGAGGATGGATGATAATGAAGTCGAAAAAGGAAGGGACAGGCCAAGGAAATGTTAAGGAATCCTGGTAGGCCTTATGTAGGTTTATTAGTCAATATAATTGTGTAGGATTCGTCCAGCTACAAGTACAGGTATGAAGGAGACCAGGGGTTCCCTCCCAGTAGGTTGTGGTTCTGAAAGTGAGAAATAAAGAAAGTTGAGGGTGCTAGCAATAATACCAGCCATAGGATCTATTCTGGGAAGGGTATTAAATAGAAAAATAATATAACTCCCCATTATTTAGAAAGTATATGATTATCTTAAATGAGGAAATTGATGTTTTTTTAAATTTTGGTACTGCAGGTTGAACCCAGGGCCTGCCTGTTGTTCAGCTCACCTGAACAATGCATTTACCTTTTCATTTTTTATTATGTTTTAGACTTACGATTTGCCCTGGCTAGCCTTGAACTTGTGAACATGCAATCCTCCTACATCTGTCTCTCAATGAGTTGGTTTTACAGGCACTTACCACCATACCCAAATCTTAGGTTATTGTGAAATTCTTTTATTCATTGAGATACCTGACTATGATGTAATAAATCAAAATGATATAAATATATGGCTTTTCATCTGAAGAGAATTATTAGCAATTAATACAAGACCATTTCCTTAAAGAAACAAAGCCCTGCTTACGGATCATAATTAAACTCATAAAATCTGTTTACAAAGATAATATTAAATTTTTCTGTGACTCTGAAGAACCTTTAGGTACAGTTGTACATTTTCCATTGTATTAGTGAAAAGACTAGATAATTTCCCATGAGATTACATGAGCTGTTTAATTTCCCCAATTAAATATAGATGGAACTGTGCCTTTTCTTTCCAGTGATTTAAACCTTTGAGATGTTTGGAAAAACAATTTTGTTTGATAACTTTCCTGATCCTTCTGATACATGGGAAATCATTGAAACAATTGGAAAAGGAACTTATGGGAAAGTTTTTAAAGTATTGAATAAGAAAAACGGCCAAAAAGCAGCAGTCAAAATTCTGGATCCAATTCATGTGAGTCATTTTGAGTTTTTCTCTTCTCCATAGCCAATTTAATCTATATGAAACAGTTTTTAAAATTAACACATATCTCAAATAAACTCATTCATCATTATCATTGTGAAACAAATTGCAACAATTTGAAAAATATAGGAAAGTCTTCTTGTTCGATTCTTCTGGTTTACGTGCTATATCGATAAAATATGTATTTTATATCTAACTTATAAGTAAATCAGTGTAGAAATACATAAATGCAATGGTCATCAGCTATATAGTTCATTGATATTATCTTAGATTTAAAAATAATTAAAATAAAAACTCATGGGTCTAAATGTAACTCTAAGATGTCATTGTAACCAGATGTCCAAGTTTCCCTGCATTTGCTCAGGCTATAGGCACAATTTCTCTTATGCCAGATTGAAGAAGTAGTTTTGTTTCCTTATTTATTTATTATTTTTTAACTACTTGTAAAAAGAAGTTGCCATTTAACAAAGCAGTAATGGCTACATTATATCCTGAATACATTATATAATGGCTACATTATATCCTGGTCAATGTCACTCCTTTCAACATTCTTGCCCATTCCTCTCCTATCTACCCTTCCCTCACTCTTCTTAATGTTGTACACATTGGAGTTTTGACTGCATTCTTTCCTTCTCCTTGTAAAGGATTTTTTTAAATGAAATTAATTTTTTTATTTGCTTATGTGTTTGATGGTCTTTGTCTATATTCATTGTGAAAAATTGGAATTCTTCTTTAATCTTATTGATCTTCGAGTGAAGTCCTTCACTGCTTTTTGGGGTAAAGGTGGTTAATAGTTGTGATAAGAGAAAATATCAAAATACTAATTGTGATTTTAAAAAATAGCTTATTGTTAATAGTGCAAGGAGAATGTCAAGATTCTGTTTCCAAGAAATGATTTTTTTACTCGTGTGTGTGTGTGTGTGTGTGTGTGTGTGTGTGTGTGTGTGTGTGTGTGTGTGTATGTTGGGACCAAAGTCAGGAGCTCATGCTCCTATTGAGCTACAGTCTGGCCTGGTCTTCTGAGAATGAAGGTTGGAAATTTAGGATTACTTGTTTGGGTTTAGTTTAGTTTGGTTTTTGGATTTTTGAAATATCAGTTGTATTGGCTTTAAACTCACAATACCCTGCCTTACACTCCTGAGTCCTGGGTTTTTAGGTGTGTAACCCCAAGCCTGGCTAAGTGCTAGACTGGAGATATTTGCCTTTCTCATAGTACATGGGTGAGCAAATAAGCTTAGAAGTCACATCTCCCCAAACTGTTGCTGAGATCCATGCCTCTTACACATGCAAGTCATGACAGTGTCCAGGGAGTGTGCATGCCATGAAAAGTGCACATGAGAACCCTCTGTCCTTGTCATAGCTCACCCTCTAATAAACCATGGACATAGCACAAGGTCTCTAGTTCTTTGTTCATCTGAAGGGTGCACTTTTTATTATTTATTTCTACTAAGCCCATTATTATGTCACTCTTGGGTATTGTTAGACTAGAGGAAAATGAGAGAGCTTTATCTAAGGCAGTCATTTGAGACCAAATACGGATCATCCTAGCTGCCTAGGAGGTTGAGACCTTGAGGATCATGGCTTGAAGCCAGCCCAGACAGAAGAAAGAGTTTATGAAACTCTGTCTCTAATTAACCAGCCAAAAGAGCAGAATTGGAGCCATGGTTCAAGTGGTATAGCACCAGGTATGAGCAAGAAAGCTGAATAAAAGTGGGAAGCCCTGAGTTTGAGCTTTAGTACCACACACACACACACGCACACATGCACACATATACACAGAAATATATATGTATTTATATATGTACATATATACATGTATGTGTATATATGTATATACATTGTATATATGGAAGGGAAAATAGGACACACACTAGACTAAAAAGTTGAGAAATATTGTGCCCAGGCTTAACTGACATGAACTATCTTCATATTTACATAGAGGGGAGAAAGACACAAGTTACCCTACCCAAATGACTTGATTTTTGTTTTTCCATTGGCCTTTGATATTACAGTTTGGGATTCATTTCAGTAAATAAAAGGACTTCAGTATCTAGCTTCTCCCATTCCCTTCTGCGTGTGTGTGTGCGTGTGTGTGTGCGTGTGTGTGTGTGTGTGTGTGTATGCCAGTTCTGCAGTTTGAACGCAGGGCCTCATCACTGTCTCTGAGAATTTTTACTCATAATTAGCGCTCTACCTCTTAAGACAAAGCTTCACTTCTGACTTTTTGCTTCTAAGTGGAGATAAGAGTCTCACATACTTTCCTGTCCAGGCTGACTTTGGACTGTGATCCTCAGATCTCAGCCTCCTGGGTAGCTAGGATTATAACCATGAGCCACCAGTGCCTGGCTATTTCCTTCTTAATGGAGAAAGAGTAGCTTAACATACGTATAACCATTGTTTGTTTTTAATTTACTCATATATAATATACTTTGAAATTCTGCAAATCATGTTCTCTGCCGTTGTTTTAATGAAACACTAACAATGTATAGTACTTTATTTTGCTGCCTCTGCTCTTGTCACAATACATATGTTTTCCTTAGAATTCCTTACTCATTTGTCATGTCACAAGTCAAATAAGAAAGATTTATAACCAAGAGATTATAATCTTAAACCTAAATGCACCCATGAATTTTTACAAAGATTGACTCTTTTTAAAATGAAGGTATCTTACTATGGTGTATATTGAATTAGGAATTTTCCCTGCAAGGAAAAGAGTAAGTGAACAAAATTGGGATGTAGTAGGGTTGGAATCTAAGCATCTCTGGCTCTGACTTTGTCAAGCTGGATTGTCTTCCTTTATATTTTCTCTCTTCCTCTGTGAGTCCATGATTCTATAGTGAAAACACAGAGTTATTAGCTATCATTGTAAGAGCAATATTAGCCAAGTATTATAGTTCTGTGGGTTGCTTCCTGTACATGTCTTTTACCAGAAAGATGCCTGCATGGATGTGCTGCATTTTTATTAAGGTTGCAACATCTTCTATTTTTCAATATGCCTTACTCCATCTTTTATAATTTAACTCCAGGTCACTTTTTTTGGAAAAGCAAGAATTTATTGCTCATGTGACTTGCTTTTGATAGATTTCAAATATCCGGTATTCTAAAGAAACAAAATAAATCTGCTTTCTGGTTCTAAAAGTTTTTATTTCAAATCAATGACTGTCTCATTGCAGCCAAATAACTACTACAATGAGTTGTTTTTGAAATGCATAGAAAAATAGCCTTTATTTCTTTGTAGATTTAATTAAAAAGCAATATAGCTTAAGATGCATTTGGCTAGCAAGAAAATCACAATCTGGCCTCTTAATGTGATAAGAAATTTAATACATAGAACTAAACACAATAAAAATCAAGATTTTGCCTTAGTAAAATAAAATTCTGATTTTGATAGCTATTACATGTCATTGATATTGTTCATACTTTTTAAAAATGATTTTTGAAACTAGGATATTGATGAGGAGATTGAAGCAGAATACAACATCTTAAGAGCACTCTCCGACCATCCAAATGTAGTCAAGTTCTACGGTATTTACTTTAAGAAGGATAGACAACATGGAGATAAACTGTGGTTGGTTCTGGAGGTAAGTGTTTCAGCATGATTTGTGTAGGTGGAAGTTTGCATTGTGGTCCTGGAATGACACAGTGCTTAGGTGACATTAACCTCGTGAAACTCTTCTCCAGTAAAACGTGGTGTCTAGTATGAGACTCATCATCTTAAGATACACATCAGGAAATTAAAAATCTACACAACTACTGAAAATTGAAAAGAAAATCAGTCCACAGAGAAAGACTGAAGAGTCTGAGGTTCTCTTTTCCTTTGGGAAAACAGTTTTAAAATGTGAAGTGAGGTTTCATTATTGGTGATTTCATGAATGTTTTTTTCCTTCATTGAATGCTAGTAAATTAAAGTAGAGAACCAAGTACCTACATTTATGGTCTGTACTTCTCAATTTGGATAATCCCAAACCTTGAGTCCTTTCAGGCATGCTGCTGGATATGGATATTGTGTGTATGTGAGGGAGGGCAAGATAAGGAGGCATAAGGTTAGACACTTCCATTGATGTTTTGTTCTCTCCTTATTTTCTTTCCTTAGCCCTATATAGTTAGGCTGGTCCAACCCCTGCCAGAAAACAAAGAAACAAAAAGCCCTCAGCAAATGCTTTACTTGGTATTCTCCTGTGTTGACGTAATCCATTATCACTTGCTTATCTGATTCCATATTTTCAATTTTGATGAACTCTCCTGACCTCTGATCTTTTTTCTGTCTTCTTTTCCTTTGTGGTTTAGACTTTTTAGACCCCTTTACTGACATTTAAGTGGAGAATCATGAATGACGATCAATAAATTTACAGTTCATCTGCAAACTTTATTTGCACCACAGAGCCTTCCAAAATGTAAACTAGTATTTTCAAGAACATTTTCATGATAGGAAGCTATGCATTGTATTATTTTGCCAAGGTTAAAAAATATCAAATAATCATATGTGTCCTTTAAAATTAGACTATTCTTTCAAATTATTTTATACTTATCTAGTTAAGAGAGCCTTATATTTTACAGTTAAATCATACCCTATGTGAAGCTAAAATTTTACTGTACTAAATTTAGTTACTCAAGTAATAGAACACAAAGTAGAAAGTTAAACCTTAAATTAATGAAGAATCTTAAGGGCATTTCAGGTTCATATTTGTTCATTTCAGATGCAAGGTTGTGCAAATCCTGTAGTCCTGAATAAAATTCTGCATATTTTTCAAACATTTTGAATAATGCAGTTTTCATTTTTCTTCCATGTAAAGTAATGGACAGAATAGTATTTAAATAGAGATCTGGATACTCTGGGTAATGTAGGTTTAAGGGAAAAAAGAAGAGCTTAAAAATTGGCTAGAGTTTAAAAATATTGAATATAATTGATCAATCGTTGTCTTTTAGTCTTTCAAATCTTTATTCTGATTATATTGACATTTCTCCATGTCATCATTTGGGGACTCCTGACCATAGTTTAAATTGTTATTTTTTTGAGAGAGCAGGAAAGATTGGGTAAAATGGTTTTGGATCATCCCAAAGAAATAAAGAGAAATTCCAACACAATGAATCAGTAGAAACTTAACTGGTTCTTTCCATTTGATCTTATATTTATTATCAGGTAGAGTTTTGGGAGTATCCCTAAGTAGTATGAGAAAAATTATGTATGTAGCATATATAGCATATATGTATACATACATATATATGTAAATATAATGATACTTTAGAAGTCTAATGTAACAAAATCAGAGAAAACATTAAAAATGCAGCAACCTTCTATCAGAAAGAATAACAGAAAGACTTGGAAAAAATTATAAAGTAAAGTAAGCCATACCTGAAGAAATATAGGCTGCATGGTTTCCCTCATTTCTAATCATTAGAATGTGCCTGTAAATCTACAAGTAAATCCAATGGATAGAAAAGACAAATAATTACACTTGGACATGATTTATTAAACAGCAATCTAAACATTCACACAGTGAGATCAAAGGAGGATAATCTTAGGAGAGAATCACAACAGTTCAATAGCTATGTGTATATGATCATATAAAATGATGCTTCCTGAAATGAACTCCAAGAAATGGAAGCAAGAGGTTTTTTATTGTAGTGTTTGCAATTCTTTTTTCTTTCCTTCTTTTCTTTTTGTTTATTCCCTCCTGTCACTGTATTTGATTTGCTTTGTGTATACATTTATCTGATTTGGGGAGTGAAGGGGAAAGAACAGAAATGGTGGGACAAAATGTGAACTAATTCAGCAGTGAAACCCACTAAACACTATTTTGGAAATAAACTATACAACTGGGGGGAAGAAAGTCTGGAGGGGAAAAACTGGGAGAGAATGAGAGAGGAGGTGTCACTGTTCAAAAGGAAATGTACTTATCATCTTGGTTATGTAACTGCAACCCCTCTGTATATCATCTTTACAATAAAATTTAAAAATAAAAAAACAAAAAATGCAGCAAATTGATATACTGTATATAAAATCATTAACTTGCATATGTAAATCAGACTAATCATACATACTTATAAGTGGCTAGCTGTACAATTACCTGATTTATAAACATGAATGGTGCAGGTGCTCTGCTAGAAGCAATTGTAGAAAATTGTGACATTCTTTGTGTAACAAAATGACTGCTAATTATGCCTCTTATCATAATAAAGCCTCAATAAATTATTTTGCATATCTAATGAGAGGCCCAAGAGGGTCAAAGTGATGGAAAGAGTCCTACATATAATGTGAGATTTCTTTTATTTTTACCAGTAAACATGATTCATTTTTAACTTATCTTTAAATTATCTTTAAGTAGTTGTACAAAGGAATTGCCACTTTATAAATACAGTGCATCTTGGTCAATGTCAATGCTTTCAATATTCTCACCTTTCCTTCCCAACCTGCCCCTTCCTGCTCTTTTCTTCATCTTGTAGGATATACATTGAATTCTTGCCTGGATTCTATCTTTCATTCTCCCTTTATTCATATACCCTTCTCCCCTCGACCCCACTCTACCTCCTTTCAAGTACCAGTTTCCTGGTGTTTATTCTGTTGAACTTTGTCTTCGCCTTTCTAAGGAATCACAGAATTTGAGTTCTCCCTTGAATGTACTAGTTTTCAGTTAATACATTTGTATATGCTTGCTTACATTCTACAGAGATTACAGTAGAAGGTCTGTAATGCAGAGGATATATCTGAGCCATTGTGTCCTTAGTCATAAACCTGCCTCTTGGGAAAGGTTATGTCAGCCTACACAAACTCCACAGTGACTTCCTAGCATGAAAAATCATTTTACTTAAAATTTCAATCCAGACTTAAAATCGTAGAAATAATATTTCCCTAGATCTTATGGGACAGTCCTTTTTGTTGAATTTTATTTTTGAATTTTTTTGTCTTGAATTTTATTTTTGAATTTTGGGGGTATATTTTTTCCCTTTCCTGTATTTTTCTTCTATCTTATAACTCTTTCCATGAATGATGTGCAAGATTCTGTTTAGAAATCTTCTTTTTTAATTTGCTGTATTTGATTTAGACTCCAAATCTTGCCAAGGTTGTATAAAAGAGCTCAAGCTTCTGATTCTCTGAAATTCCAGTTATATACTTGAATGAAACTAACCAGTAAGGAGTAAATGGGTGTTTGTTGTGATTGGTGTGTATGTATGTGTGTTTGTGTGTGTGTTGATGTTTGATGGCACATCTGTAGAGTGTTTTATAATCATGTATTAGTTTAGATTTTTCTAATGATGCAGGTATAAAGAGATAACCAATGTTTTTGTTTCTTTGATGTATGCCTCATTTTGAGATATTTTATTTACATTCCTTTCTGCTGTTGCCACACTTATCTCTAACCTGGCCTGTTTAGTAAGTTACAGGAACTACTTTTGACTTTTGGCTTGCTTTATTTAATCCAAATGTACATTATTGAGGGTCAGCATCAAGAACTGGGGGAGGAAAGCTGGAAAGGTGAGGATTAGATTAGGTTTGTACATATGCTTATACATGAACCTGAAGACCCCAGAAGCAAGGTCCAAATTGGACTAAATCATTCTCATAATAATTCTTTGCTACTGATAAACACAAAGGAAAGAAAATAAAGATATTTAAGTGTAATTTTTCCCTTCTTGACTGGACAAACAAGCACATCTAACTATATAACAAAACCCAGACTTTTCTCTCTGGAACTATTTCCTTAGTGTGCCTTCAGTCAGAATGGAACCAAAATTCAGAGCTGGGACGCCTTTCCATTAAAAGACTCTTTCTCTTATAATCCGATATTTCCTCTAATTGCTCCTTTTACAATGGCGCTATAGAATATATTCTATTACTTGTCTGAATTGGCCCTGATTTGTTCACTCTTATTAAGGACATTGCTTTCTCCTACTGCACTCCAATTATAGCAATTTTTCCTCTTTGAAATTATATCTTTTTCAGGAGATCAAAGGCTGATAATTACAAGTGATATTTAAAAGCACAAAAATTCAGTAAATAGCTCTTAAGAGCTTCCAAGTACACATGTTAGATCATCAAAGCCTTTTTAATACATAGAAATACTACTTTCCAAAGTCATGTATTATTGGTTGTTTTAGTTTTTACTTTACTATCCACCAAGTAATAAAAGGTCTGTCATGAGGAAAAGAAAACTAAGTGATGGAAAGAAGAGGAGCTAGAATGGAGGAGTAGTTTCTGTTTCCTCAGCTATTAACCCTTTTAAGTTAGGAATACAGTGGGGACATAAGCCATGACTTCTTGGTCTATGTGTCAGGATCAGAGAAGCAAGACAGGTGTAGGAAGTTAGGTCTCACCTTCTAACAGCACAGTGCTGTTCTTTCCTCCCTTTGTCCAGCCTCAGCTGCAGTGGAGAAGTGTTCTGACCATGTGATGCCTTTCATGTTCTTAGGACTGGAAAATCATTCCAGCTCCCATATAAATAAGCAGCTGTTACTCTGTGAGCTCAAAGCAGAGTAGACAGCCAGTTACCCAGAATCATTTGATTTTAGGTTTCATTTAAAAGGCAGATATTACTTTCTGCTCTTAAACTTAGGAAATATATGAATATTAAATGAAGTATCTGTATATTTTCTACCCACCCATCTCATCTAATCCATCTACTACTTATCTATCTATCTTTTATCATCTACCCATCTCTCCATCCATGTATTTCATCTATCCGTCTACCCATCCATCCATCTCATTTTCCCATCTATCCATTGATCTATCCATCTACCCATTTATCCACCTCTCTATCTCATCTATCCATCAATTCATCCATCTGACTCCTGTTGTGTCCTTCTTGCTCAATAATTCTTTGGTTCTTACAAAAAACTGCTACTCTGAATAGAAGTACAAGTTTAGAGTATTAATTTGGGGAGAAAGATGTAAGATACAACATCAGATATATTGTTGTTTGATAAATTAATAAGTTTTTATTGTGCACATTAAAATATTTCTTCTGACAAGTTACTTTCTCTTTGTTATCAAAGATTTCTTATTGACAGAATTGTCAATGTTTGCTGGTGTTTTCCCATAAATTTTAAACATTTTAAGGTGAGAGAACAGTTCTGGATTTATATTTCATTACTCATGGTTGTATACAATAACCAAAACACTTCTCATTGCACACCTAAATGAGTCAACTGTATTATCTACCGATAGTATTATTGACATTAAAATACTGCCTCTAATCCACACATTAGAAAATGCAAAACTTTTATTCACTATTCGAGTTATAAAATGTCTATTTGCTGATGGTGCCAGGTTTCATCGATACTTGATCAATATTTTACTGGATACAATGCTTACAGATTTGTCTATCCAGCTGGCTTTGAACCTTGATCCTCAGAACTCATTCGACTTGAGAAGCTAACACCTGACTTAAATATGAATTCTTGTCATAACACACATAACAAATTATACATTAGAAAACGGAAAAGAAATGTTTCTAAGACATAAAGGAAATAAGCTTCTAACAGTTTCAAATATACTGTGTTACCTATAAGTAAAATTTGAATGTCTGCCTTTTGTAATTTGCTCTGTCCTGTTCATATCTGACACTTAGAAAATAATTTGAGTCTATTTTAAAAGTGTTTTTGGTCTTGACTGTTTCTCCACAATAGGAATAAAATTATACAACTTACAAAACTTTACCTTATCATTTGTAAGAAAAACAGTGTAAATTAGAATATGAACTAATGTAGGTCATAAGTAGGACATTACTCTTTTTGTTGTTGTTGGTCATGAGGCCTGAACTCTGGGCCTGGGCGCTGTCCCTCAGCTCTTTAGCTCAAGGCTAGCACTTTTCCACTTGAGCCACAGCCTCACTGCCAGCTTTTTCTGCTTATGTGGTGCTGAGGAATCGAACCCAAGCCATCATGCATGCAAGGCTACCTTCCCAGCCCCAGGAAATTAATCTTTTAATTGAACTCAGCTTTCCTCCTCTCCCCTAGCACTATGCCCCACGCCACCTCCAGAAAATGCCTCCCCCTAGTCCTAAGGATTGATCTCAGGGCCTGGGCGCTGACCCCTAAGCCTCTTTGTGCTCAAGGCTAGCACTCTACCACTTGAGCCACAGTACCACTTCTGGCTTTTTCTGAGTAGTTTATTGGAGATTAGAGTCTCATAGACTTTCCTTCCTAGGCTGGCTTTGAACCACAATCCTCAGAACTCAGCCTTCTCTGACTCAGCTCTTTTTAAAGGAATTTATCAGGCATAATTAGGAAACAAAATCTAAATTTGATGAGGAAAGATTGTTGATATTCTTTAAATTTCCACATCCATATTTTCAGAAAGGGTTTTATGTTTACACTTCCGCTAAGAAATGTGTGTGGCAGGCGTGTGTGTGTGTGTGTGTGTGTGTGTGTGTATGTATGTATGTATGTGTGTGAACTGATTCTTCGGCTTGAACTTATAGCCTGGGAATTGTCCCTGAGCTATTTTGCTCGAGGATAGCCCTTTACCACTGAAGCTATAGTCCACTTCCAGCTTTTTGGATGGTCAATGGAGATAAAAAGTCTCATGGCAGGCTTAGGACCAAGATCCTCAGATCTCAGCCTCTTGAGTAGCTAGTATTCCAGGCTTGAGCTGCTATATTTTCAGCCTCTTGAAACAAAATCTGTCCTTGTCATCTCTGATCAATAAATATTTGTTGGACATAAATTATAATTCTAAAAATCAACTTTAAATGAAAGTACTGCTATACAAAATGTCTATGCTTCATATCAAAAATATTTTTGGATCAATACTATTGGTTATAAATTTAACAATGAGCAAATTAGTTTCATTTCTGAGAAGACATTGTAAAGGAGCTTTATTTGTATAGAATTTAGATGGATTTTGTATATCTTCCATGAATCAGGATCTTTTAACTTAGTCTTAACAATCAGGTTTCTTTTAGTGAAAAGATGTATTTTTAGCAGTTTTAGGTCTGCCAAAAGATTAAACAGAAAATAACAGAGACCTCTACAATGCTACATTCCTCCAATTATTAACATTTTACGTTAACACGGTACATTTGTTGGAATTATGCACCAATTATGATATATTATGATTAACTAAAGTCTTTAGCTTGCATCCTTCTGCCTTATATATTTTGTAGAGTCTGACAAATTTATACCAGCCAGCACTATAGTTTAGCTCAGACACAGTTCCCTTATTTCCTGTCCTCTGCCTCTTCATCTGTCTTGAATACCTGATAACCACTGAATACTTGGTCTGTGGTTTAGGTTTCTTGAATGTTACACAACCCAGATCATACATTGTGAGCCTTTCTACAATGCTCTCTTTCTCTCTGTATTATGCACTTAACACATGACCTTCCTGATATGGGAAACTCAATTTAAGCCCAGTTCAAACTTCCATTTTTCTTTTTTTTGTCAATCATGGGGCTTGAATTCTGGGCTTGGGCGCTGTCCCTGAGCTCTTCAGCTCAAGACTAGTACTCTACCACTTGAACCACATTGCAACTTCCTGGTTTTCTGGTGATTAATTGGAGATAAGAGTCTCACAGACTTTCCAGCCTGGGCTGGCTTTGAATCGTGATCCTCAGATCTTAGCCACTGGCACCCAGCTTAGACTTCTATTTTTTGTTTCTTGGATACATTGCTTAGTATTCAAGTGTGTTGCAATAATTGGACATCCATATACAATCCATACCTCATACTACATACAAAAGTTAAGTCAAATAGATCACACAACTGCCTATAGGTAATCCAAAGGACATAAGATTTTCTGAAGAAATTTTGGGAGAAAAGTTTTATAATGTTGGATTAGGTTAAGATTTCTCAGGACACAGGAAGCATATTCTGTAAAATCTTTTTTTTTTTTTGGATCCAGTCATGAGGCCTGAACTCTGGGCCTGGGTGCTGTTCCTCAGCTCTTCAGCTCAAGGCTAGCACTCTACCACTTGAGCCACAGCTTTTTTCTTTTTGCTTATGGGTGCTGAGGAGTCGAACTCAGGGCCTCAGGTATGCAAGGCAAGCGCTCTACCACTGAGCTACCTTCCCAACCCCTGTAAAATCTTTTATAATGAGTTCCAAAGCCTGGGTCCTTTTAAAGAAATGGCTTGGTATTTTAAAGGACTCAGTTACTTCTCAGTCAGTTGTGTCTAACACTCGGCCATTTATCCAGGTAAAAAGATGTCCCTTGCCTTAATACAGTAGGAACCGCAAGTTTTGAAATTCACCAAACAGAGTCTTCTTTGAATGGACAAAGATGCTTCAGTATCTACATGTATAATATGGAGATGGTGACCCTTATTTCAGAGTAGTGAGGTTTAGAAATAAACCATATAACTTGATTAGAAATTTGTCCAGCACTGAGGAAGTGATCAATAAAACCCCATTGTTTCTATCATATTTATAATATATCAGAAGTGTTTGGGAATCCAGTAAAATTTAATCATCATATTTTTTAAAAAGGCTTTTGAAGCCAGGTGCCAGTGACTCATGACTCTAATCCTATTCAGAAGACTGAGACCCTCCTTGAGGATGGTCTCCTAGAGACTCCATCTTGAATTAAGCAGTTCTAATTCTTAACCTTAAACTTAAAATTCAAGCTCAGTGTTTCCATATTCTCTTGTAAAGGAGAGGATGGGTAAGGTTGAGATAAATAGGGGGAGCGGGACAGGGGGAGTAATGGAAGGGCTGACACTGACCAAGATGCATTATAGTCATAAATTGACATGTGGAATCCAAACTCCTTTATGTTTTAGAACTATTTAAAGATGATAGAAAAAAATAAAGATAGTAGAAATAAACACAAAAATGCTAAAATGAATAGATAAATTCTAAAAGCCATTTGTATGAATAATGTGTTCTGATCATCACAACTGTACACAAGTACAAGTTTCTATGTTCATTTCACTGGTGAAATCTAAAGATAATGAGAGTCACCATTTGAAACAGAATATTGGAATGATTATTTTTAATGTTTTAGGAAGATCTTTTCTATCACAAAGTTAGAATATCATGTCTGTGCTAATGTCTATCTTGAAATATTCCTTCTAGCTGTGCAATGGTGGATCTGTGACAGATCTTGTGAAAGGATTTCTGAGGAGGGGTGAAAGAATGAGTGAGCTTCTGATTGCCTATATTTTACATGAAGCATTAATGGTAAGGCTATTTATGGTTGTTTTTTGTGTGTGTGTATTCCAAGAGGTAGTTCTAATTTCAAAATAATCCTGAGCTAGGTATTGGTGGCTTATATCTGTATCTCATGATACTGAGATCTGAGGATAACTGTTCATAGCCTGGACAGGAAAGTTTGTGAGACTCTTATCTCCAATTAACAAGTAAAAGACCAGAAGGGAAGCTGTGACTTAAGTGGTAGAGAGCTAGCCTTGAGCAAAAATAGGTCAGGGAATAGTAACCCCTCTGTACAACAACTTAATCTCATAACAAACATTTATTATTTTTAATGCTCAGGGACAATGCACTGGTCATGAGTTCAAGCCCAACAACCGGCACAAAAAGAAGTCAGTTCTGGAATTGGAGGTCTAGCTGAAGTAGTAGAGTACCAGCCATAGGTAGAAAAGGCCCAGAGAGCTAGCCCCTGAGTTCAAGGCCCAGTACCAGCACACACACACACACACACACACACACTCACTCACTCACTCACTCACTCACAAAATGTAGATCATATTTTTTAGAAAAATACAATTACCTTGGTATTTATTGATGCAGGATTAAATGCAAACTCTGATATGTTTGGTATACTCGCCATTAAAGAAGTATGGGGCATGCTGTATTTGTGTGGGCCCAAAGATGAAATGATGTCCTTTGATTTGACTGGGAGAGAATTATTTAAGTATATGAATGCTAATTTCAACATGTGCTTCCTATTGATTTTGCATATCTGCATCATCTGAGAAATGTCTTATCGTTGACGTTTTGACATTCATTATGTTTCCCTCTTGCTAGGGACTTCAGCATCTTCACAACAACAAAACTATTCATCGAGATGTAAAAGGAAATAACATCCTGTTGACCACTGAAGGTGGAGTTAAGCTAGTAGATTTTGGTAAGTTTTGTTTAAAGGTAGATAAGTGTCAATGAACTAGTTTGAAGTGGTATGACCATTTTCCACCAGCTGTTCATTTTTCTACTGATTAAAATTAGGGGGATTCTGGGGGTTGGTGGCTCATGCCTAAAATCCTAGCTACTCAAGAGGCTGAGATCTGAGAATCAAGGTTCAAAGCCAGCCTCAGCAGGGAAAATCCACGAGACTCTTACTTCCAATTAATCACCAGAAAACCAGAAGTAATGCTGTAGCTCAAAGAGGTAGAGTGCTAGCCTTGAGCAAAAAAAAGCCCAGGGACAGGGCCCAAGCCCTGAGTTCAAGCCTCACAACTGACAAAAAGAAAAAGAAAATGGGGTAGGTGAGAAATATCCATATCTCCATGAGTTAAGAAGACCTGAGCTGAGATGGCAAATGACAGGGCTCCTGTTTTCAGCTCACCTGGCTTAAGTACAAATACCATAAACACAATAATGCCTATGGTTTATCCTCCCAAATAGCACCCCATTAAATGATTAGTCTAAGCCTATAATTGTAATCCCTTGGCCACAAGTAGTGATTGCTTTATAGATGGATTTATTGCTAAATCCAAGATTCTGCGATATGAGGGGAAATCTTCAAAGGTCATCTGAGAATATTTCCTCTCTCCTAACAGAGAGACACAGAGAAAGATGGTTTCCTCCTTTCCTGAGACTGTCTTATCACAATATCTGAAATGTAGTCTCTCACTTGTGACCGAGGGGCTTTGTCCTGATGAAGACAGAGCTGAGAAAGGAAGCAATAGGGATCCTTGATGACATAGAGAGCCACCAGGTCAATCAACTCTTGAAGCCTGCTTTTTCTCTGGACTTTAAAGTGTGTGAAATACTAAAATTCTTTATTTCCTAAGCCCATTGGGGGTTTCTGTAGTACCACCAAAGGCACCAAAACTAATGTAATTAGTTCATTTGGATAATTATTTTTCAATTTGGAAGACGTTTTCTAGAACTTTCTCTTATTTGTCCCTACTGCTCCTGAAAGAGTAGATGACAGTATTCCAGGACATCTAGTATCCTGCAGGCATTTTTCTCCTCTTCCAGCTGGGTACAGAGGCCCACTTTTGTCCTTTTACCATGTCAGAATATCTCTATTATTCAGTTTATTACACAGGATTATCTCTTGGGTCTTTCTGGATAAATAAAGATACTTAGTAATATAGATAAATAGTTGGTGACAGCAAAATATCTTAGTGTATTTTGTAGACTTAATGTTACAGGTATACCAGTTCATTGAGTGTAAGTTGAATATACTGTTTCCTCAAGGTTGGAAGAGGGATGCCATTTGAGAGACCGAGGAAACAGTTTTATCCATGAGAGATTGAAGTCTTTCTAAAATGTCTTCCAGATTTGTTGAATTTGACTAAGCTTCCCTCCTAGAAATTAGGGGAGGGGGCTAGAAGAGAATCCATAATAGTTACAGCAAAATTCCCAGGTGTTAGTGGTGGTTTGTAACTGTAATCCTAGCTACACAGGAGGCTGAGAACTGAGGATCACTGTTCAAAGCCAGCCTAGGCAGGAAAGTCTGTGAAACCCTTGTCTCCAAAAAGCTGGAAGTGGAACTGTGGCTCAAGTAGTAGAGTACTTGAGCAAAAAAAACTAGAGACAGTGCCCAGGCCATGAGTGTAAGCCCCAGGACTGACTCACACACATGAGCATGTGTGTGTGGGGACACGCACACACACACACCACACGCACACACCACACGCACACACACACACCACACGCACACACACTACAAGAAAAATGAAGAGAAGACAAATCTCTTTGTGTATCCAAGATACAGAGAAACCAGTTATAGACATGCCACTTTCTCTGCATATAAACACCCCTACTCTGTACTTGCCTAACCTCTGTCTGACTGACGGCCTCCCCAACACCATACACTTCAGCCAGGCAGAGAGTTGTCAGACTGTTAATCCCATGTTTCACTTGACAGATGCTCTGTTGTACTCTGGGCTTTGTAATGACAGGACTTCTATCGGGCCTGTTACTTTCGCACCAGAGGGAAGACCTTCTATGCAATCATGTGATCATAAGAAAGTTCATTTCTTCAATACATCAGTGCCCTTCAATAAATCTACAACACATAGAAAAAAAGAGTAGTTTCTTGCTTATGAGCTTGGTCGCTGTTAAGATAATATGGGATGATAGAAGCAAACTACTTAATGTATAATTACTGGCCCAAGGTAATTCTGAAAAATCTGAGCTATTACTGTTGCCTGGAAACAATATTCCAACCTACCTTCATACTCAATGCTGTATGCATAGTAAGTAATGGATAAGGGATTATTTAAATAATGCCTCATTATGTTTTGTTTTGTTTTTTAATAGCATTCTGCAAGAGTCACATGTTGCTTTAAATGTCAAGCAAATCACACCAAAAGCAACATTCGATTTGCTCATAGTAGGCCTTTAAGAAAGCCTTTTATTTTTTCTTCCTTAAGTGGGATTCACTATTGCAGAAAACCAGCAGACACCTTAGAGAGCAAATAAAAAGACAAGTGAGCTTGTAAACACTATGCATGAAATGCATTAGCAGTCACTGGTATATGAGCAGTCAATAAATAATACTATCTCCCAGGAGATAAACCCCTTTAGGCAAGTCAACTGATGTCTGAAAAAGCAGTCCCCATGTCAAATAGAAAATAAAAAAAGGGACTAAATTTAAAGGGCAGTCCCAAGTTCTCATTTCTATGGAGTTTTCTCTGGGGAACTTCATTTCTAATAGGAGAGTTAACATTTCAATATTGAAGTACAGAACGTACTTTGTGTGATTTATTTAGACCTCGTGCTTATGACAGAGTATTTTATAGCTTTAAATCTCTTATTTCCCTCATGTCCCATTTTAGAGCAAATCCCCAGTGCATAATGTAGGTCAAAGAGAAGTTGTGGTTTTTTTATTAATAACCCACTTGTTAGCATCAAGTGAGTATATACACCTGAACATAAAAGCTAGGGAGTATCCTTCATTCCCTCCTTTCTTCCTGAGGAATTCAGAACAAAAGCCACTAAGTGGAACAAGCAAGCATGGGAGCAGGGCTGCAGTTCATTGTACATTTTGGAGCTGACAGGCATGAAGAAAGCATCCTTGCTGGAGGAACGTCAATAATGGTAACCTGGGATGAGATGTTGGATCCCCAAGTAGAATAAGAAGGGTATCCACGTGGCACCCCATGTTACCCCCAGTGCTGTCATAGGCAGAGTGATATGAAGAAGGCATTTACATAGGGAATCCAATGGGCCCAGCTGAGCACCAGTTGCTCACACCTATCCCTAAAATCCTTCACACTCAAGAAGGATTGGACTGGAACTGTAGGTACATTATGAACTCATAGTTTTCAATCTATATAAATAGATATAAAAGTAAAAGCGATGATACATGTGTGTGGAATATGTACATGTGTGTATGTTACCTTCTGTCTTCACAAGGAGATCTTGGGAACAATGATGCCCAAGAGAAAAGACACCACGCCCTTAGCTCTGGGTTTGGTTGGTTGGCTGTTTTTGCGGTACTGAGGACTGAACACAGAGCTTCATACTTGTGATGTAACCATTCTGTCACTTGAACTACAGCTCTACCCTATACCCTATACCGTATACCTATGTAAGTATTAACAATACTTACATATAGTATAATAATTATTATTAAGTAGTTGTGCACAGAGGTTACAATTCCATAAGTCAGGTTGTGAGTACAAAGCTTCTTTTTTTTTTTTTTTTTGGTCCAGTCGTGGGGCCTGAACTCTGGGCCTGGGCGCTGTCCCTCAGCTCTTCAGCTCAAGGCTAGCACTCTACCACTTGAGCCACAGCGCCACTTCCGGCTTTTTTCTTTTTTTTGCTTATGTGGTGCTGAGGAATCGAACCCAGGGCCTCATGCATGCAAGGCAATCACTCTATCCCTGAGCTACCTTCCCAGGCCCAAGTACAAAGCTTCTTGATCAATGTCATCCCTATCTTTTTGTTCTTCCCCCCTTTTCCCTTCTCATCTCTACCTTTAAGTTATATAGGTAACATTTTTTTTAAATATAATTCTCGAATAAAAGAAATCAAGAATTCTTGGAGAAAGGTTGAGATAGCCTAAACTTACTGTGTTGAAATAAAATTTTAAAAAATATATATTCAAATAGAGACATGTTAAAGGGACATGGTTGTCAACCTGAAGCAATTTTCACTGACCAGCTCTGGGACAGTCTGAATATCAAAATAAAAATACTAATAATAGTAATAAGTGTAACAAGTTCAACAAAATACAAGTCCATTAATCTCTACTGGCTACACATAAATAAATGAGCAAAGAGGGAAAGGGGAAACAAAGGAGGAGGCTACAATGCTTGATAAGAAATGTACTCATGGGCTAGGAAGGTGGCTCAGTGGTAGAGCGCTTGCCTTGCATGCCAGAGGCCCTGGGTTCGATTCCTCAGCACCACATAAGCAAAATGAAAAAAAAAAGCCGGAAGTGGCGCTGTGGCTCAAGTGGTAGAGCGCTAGCCTTGAGCTGAAGAGCTGAGGGTCAGCGCCCAGGCCCAGAGTTCAGGCCCACGACCGGACCCAAAAAAAAAAAAAAAGAAATGTACTCATTATCTTGCCCATGTAATTGTAACCCCTCTGTACAGTATTTTCACAATAAAAAGAATGAAAAAAGAGAAACAAAAGTTTCATAGTACAAAAGAGTTTAGAAATGATAATGGAATTTTAAAAAATCATTGTTATTCAGCCATCATCCTAATTAACAGTTTGTCCCAGAACTTTAATGGATTACCAACACTAGTGGAATAAGCTTTGATTAGAAACAGGATCGCCTCATCATTTCAAAGTATCCCTCCACAACAGATTGGTTAATTACAAAAGAAAAAATTAGGGTAACTTCTTAGGGCAAACATATATTAGTCAAGTGAGTGAAGTGAACATCACTGGTAATGAGACAAACATAAATCATGCCAGGTAAAAGGATGCAATAAGAAGACC